TTGGTTACTAGTTGTCTCAGACGTTTCTAGCAATGATATAGTGTGAATACTTTTAAGTTCAGCTTGTGCAAACCATTTACTTATTGTAAACAGACATTGTATACGATTCTCTTTGGATTAGCTCAAATTTGATTAGTTCTAATTAGTTCAGAACTGAACTAATCTCAAATAAGAATTCAGTCTTGAGAGAAAAAAGCTAATTTGTAAGAGATATGAGGTGAGGAGGATGGGAAAAAACAATAGAGGAAGAACTTGGAAGACTTAACAAACTTCTCTGATTTATAAATCTCATTTGCCTGTGCTACTTCTGCCTGTACCAATTCATGCTCTATTCTTATATCAATCCAAATAATAGCTCTTCCAGGTGGCCATAAGACTAATCAGAGCTACAAGACTGGCTTCTCTTCAGAGCAGGATTGTGTTTTGTGTACTGACATATACCATAGATATCTATTAAATTTATATTGTGCTAAAATAGAAATAGTAATCTTTATGCCTTATTTTGCTGATGTACTTATCCTTCTAAGGAATTGTAAAGTCAGTACATTTTTCCATCTTCTTGCTCTCCCTCTGGTAATGCAGACTTATATAAAGGAACACATATTGTGTACACACACACACACGGACACACACACAATTCCTTGTTATGCCCCATTTGAAGCAGGTGAATTCCATTAAGTGGAGACCCTTTATCTCAATTGATGTTTGTTTCCTGTATTGGTGGGACAGGGGTGAGATCATAGCTTTTTGGGTAGCTCACAAATTCCTTATAATCTAGAGAAATCAACAACTCACTTTTTGAGGTCGGAAGTATTTTTCACAGAACAAAGGAGAATCCACAATGTGTCAAAGCATCCTTCCCTCTCCACAGTCAAAAGTTCTTTTTACCTTTCTTGTTTTGCAGCCTGTGGGAAAAGCTTCACAATCTCCATGTGGACTGATGGCACTTGAGTAGCCTCCTTCACTTTTACTTCTAGAATGTACTCCTTGCCAAATTTCCTTTTCAGGTGTGGGATGGTGCCGATGCATCTATGAGCAAGATGAAGAACATGAAAGAAAAAACTACTATCCTTAATATTTGTTTTGGCAGTACTAAGGTTTTTTTTTATGAACTTAAGACCTTAAACTTGCTAGGCAGGCTCTCTAGCACTTCAGCCACAACCCCAACCCTTTAAGCTCTTCATATTTTTCAAATTGGGTCTCAAGTTTTGTGTAGGTGACCTGGATTATAACCCTCTTGTTTATATTTCCTGAATAGTTGGGATGGTAGGGACTTGTCACCAAGCCTAGTTTTTAATTGGTAGAAATGAAATCTTGTGAACTCTTTGCCAAGGCTGGCTTTGAACCATCATCCTTCTGATGTCTACCTTCCACATAGCTAGGTGTGAATCACCACTCCTGGCTTCTCCTTACTTTTTTTGGTACTATTCTTTAATTTCCAAGAAGGTAGGAGAGTATCAGTAAAGAAGCCAAAAAAAAAAGGTGCTAGATGCTCATAGTGAGTTGCTTTTTCCTCCAGAGTTTCATTTTCGGTGCAACATAAGCATTCTGGAGAGACACCCACCTCAGCTTTCCAGAAACCATGATGGCCACCCGGTCACAGAGAGCCTCAGCCTCAGTCAGGTTGTGGGTAGTCAGGAGAATACATTGTTCTGTGTTTTTAACAGCTGTCTGAATAGCCTGCCTGAAGTGAGTTGAGAAATGAATAGCATGCAAAATAAAAAAGTACAGAACAACAATAAGAGAGGGGGGTAGGAATTTCATATATAAAATAATTTGTGAGTCATGTACAGACTTTAATTAAAAAATCAAAGACTTTTTGGTAATGTGAAAAAATGTTCCAGTATTTTTCAGATGAAAAAATGGCACTGTATTTGGTTAAGTAGACGCTTTTGGAAATATTCATTGAAATATGGTATTTCCTTCAAAACAATTAGAAAACAGGAAAGGAAGTGGATGGAGATATAGATATGGATGGTCTTCTTAGTGATGGCTCTTAGAACTAAGTGATGGGCATAATGAATTAATAAATGATCTTTTTATTTTTACATGAACTTCCACAACAAAGATTCTCTTTAAACTGGAAAAAACACTGAATGGTCACTAATTCACAACTGGATTTAAGATGTTATTAGTCCAAAGAGTAATTCAGAAATAAGAATTTGGAATCTGTTGAATTGGGTAAATAATTTTGGCAAATAAAAGGGGGAGAAGGAAACTGGGATGTTACATCAGCAAGTTAACATTCTTTAGGAATACAAGAAGAAAAGATACCTCAGTCACAAAAGAAGCAAAGTTAATACCTAAAATACCTTAAAA